AACACGTGAGCCACGTTAGCAGCTGCGGGTTCGCTTAATCGATCTTCTGTCTTTCAGGTTGCGGATTGCCAAAATGAACAAGGAGATGCGGGAGATGGATGGAGCGTTCGGCCAACCAGGTCATTCAGAGGGGCAGGGATCAGGGGGTGGAGTGGGCGGGACTGGAGGTGGGCTGGCCAATACTAGAAAGAGTCTCCAGGCTATAAAGAACCATATAAGTGGATGGGCTATGGGGATTCAAAATGACAAACTGGGCTAAAACATATATATTTTTAAAATCAAGCATGCCTTACCGTGCATGAGTTTATAGATGAAAAAGAAAAAAACAAGCTTCAACTTAGATTTTTTTAAGAATCCTGTGAGAGAAGATAGGCTGGAACAGAGGGTACGACGGGTGGTTCTCATGAGGTGGTCACACGCACTTTGAATTGTAAATGCACATCATGCTGCACTTTGAAACCCACAAAGCATCTGAACACTATGTCAACACAGACCTACATGTGGGCGTCTTCAATACTAAACCGTTCTTTAAGCGAGCTTAAAGAAGCTGTGTATAGAGTAGACCTGGGTCAGGCCAATTTTCAGTGTATTTAGGATATTTTCTGTCTGTACAGTGTGCTGATTTGTGTATTTGTGACTGTGTTTCTTATTCCAGTTTATGTAAGCTAAATTCAGGGTTGGGTTTTGGTTCTCAAGGACAATTTTCTCCCGCTGTTCTGTGAACGGTGACTCAGTTTAAGCTTCGACACTGTTGGATTTGACCTCTTTTGTGCTTAACTGAGCGCTCTGCCGCAGCCCCTCGAGCTTGAGGTTAACAGTGGGTTTTGTTCGCGTTTTTTGTGCCATTTGGCTCTTTTTCAAGCTGCAAAGACCATTCCTTCGTGGTTGTCTTCTGGGTCCGTTTAAGGGCTTCTTGATAACTTTATACTTTAGTCTCCTGTGTCCGGTTTTTAGTCATGCGGGAATTGGGGAGAGAAGGAAAAAGGACAAGAAAAACAAGTTGTGTTTGTCTGCTTGAAAGAACTGCTGGTCAGTATTTGACGTGCTGTGCTTTGTCTGTTGTTGTTGTCTGTGTTGTATGCACTCGTGTGCCTTTGCCTTCTGCCCTCTGAGACGTCCGGCTGGTCTCAACTGCTTGTGCAGTGTGCGCCACCTACAGCAAACTAAGAGGTAAAGTGCATGTGCATGCCATTACGTGTGTTTATGTGTTCAGTTGCATGTGTCTTGCTTTAGGGCTACAGCTCTAAACGTGTCCAGGAAATAGTTGGTGTGCAATTAACGGTGTAGCTTTTGATGAAACGATGGCTGCGGCACATTAAAGTACGGGTGCTTTCAGAAAGCAAGGGCGGCATTAATGTGGGTTCTTTAAGCTTTTCAATATTTCCAAAAGCTTTTGAGGCTCACGTCTTCTCTGGTCTTTTTCAGGTGATGAAACCTACCAGGACATTTTCAGAGACTTTTCCCACATGGCCTCGAACAACCCGGAGAAGCTCAAACGCCGCAGTGCTGACCCGAAGTCTTAACCAGCTGCCTCTCCACCTCCTCATTCCACAGTGCAGCACCACATACTTTCAGGCACATATAGAAAAGATTCATCTTTCAGGCATGCAGATGCACTCGCTCTCTCTCTCTCTCGCTGGCTACCTGCCACGTGTTCGGTCACAGCTCAGCTGGTGTTGACTTCAGAGGGAACGAACGGAACAGTGAATTCTTTGTGCGAGCACGTCAGAGCAGAACAATCGTGTCCAAGTGGAAACACTGCAACAGCTTTATGAGACCAGCGTGAGGTGTCTGTAGCAGAGGGTAGCACCATTACTCTGCCAAAAGTTTTCTTATTAAAACCAGTAAATCAGTTTTTTTTTCTTTTTTTCCTTCTTTTTGTAAGCGAAACGAGGCTGTTGTTTTAGGTTTTGCGATTTCTACTGACTCATTACATGAAACAAAACAAAAAATGTTTGTAGGAAATTGTTGTTAGAAGTTGCATTTTATTTCTACCGTCTTGCGATGAACTGGAGTATTTGCAGATTTTTAAATTTGGGACTTTGTGTTCATGTTTTGTCTAAATTATGTGAGGTACATTCAATTTGTATTCAGATCAAATAAAAGAAAAATTCAAACTCGTGTTTCAGTGTATTTCAGTTTTAACTTTTTGAACTGAAGCAGTAATAAGTTCTTATTTTAAAGAACTCGTCATCCTATTAGAGGTGCTTTGCACAACTTTCCAAAACTCATTAATTATCCTTACTAATTTTGTCTTGGGTCTCACGTTCTCTGAAACGAGCCATATTATCTCCACCTTTGTTTCATCCAGCTTTCTTCTGATTGGCAAACACAAGAGCATGTAGCTCCACTGGTGGTGCTCACAGATGGAGCTGCTGTGCTTAAGAGCATCAGTATTGGGTATGTCTGCTTTCTCTGACATTGTATTAAACCAGGGGTTCTTAACCTTGTTGGAGGTACCGAACCCCACCAGTTTCATATGTGCAGTCACTGAACCCCTCTTTAGTGAAAAATAAAATATGATTTTTTTCAAATTCAAGACACTCATGTTTTTTACTGGTGCACAAAATGAGCCGTGCATGTCACGGCGGAGGCTCTGCCGAACCCCTAGGGTTGGATCGAACCCAGGTTAAGAACCACTGTATTAAACCAAGAGTAGAAAAAAAAACATGCCTGCAACAGAGTGTATAGAGCAGTCTGAAGTGTTTATAGACAGTAACCAGCCACTTAAGTAGGTATACCTGATCAACTGCTTATTAGCACAAATATCTAGTCAGCCAATCATATGGCAGCATCTCAGTGCATTTAAGGATGTAAAACAGGGTAAAGGTGACCTGCTGAAGTTCAAACTGAGCATCAGAATGAAGAGGATTGAAGTGACTGAATGTGTTATGGTTGTTGGTCAGAGCATTTCAGAAACTACTGATCTGCTGGGATTTCCCCACACGACCATCTGTAGGGTTTACAGAGAATGGTCTGGAAAAAAAGGAAATAGCCACTGAGCAGCAGTTCTCTGGTGGAAAACGTCTTGTTGATATTTGAGGTCAGAAGAGAATGGCCAGACTGGTTTAAGCTGATAGAAATGCAACAGTAGCTCAAATAAACGTGTTAAAACCAAAGTATGCAGAAAACCATTTCCAAAACTGAAGCAGAGGCAGCAGAAGACCACATCAAATATCACTCGCGTCAAGTAAGAACAGGAAGCTGACTCACTAAAACTGGACAATAAAAGATCGGAAACAGTTGTCAATCTGAACAGATTGTTCAGATGGCAGGGTCAGAATGTGGTGTTAGCAGCATGAAAGCATGGATCTATCCACAAAAAAAATGGTCAAGCCGGTGGTGTAATAATGTGGGGGATATTTTCTTGGGCCCCTTTGTACAAGCAGAGCATCATTTACTCAAATATCCTCCACACTCACCTGATCTCAATCCAGTACAGGGCCTTTGGGATGTGATGGGACAGAAGAATAAATGAGAGAAGAATGGAGTCAGACCCAGCACTAGCAGCGAGTACGCAGCCATCTTTAATATAAGCACACAACATTGTGACAGTATATGAGAGAAAATAAAGAAAAGCATAAGAGGTTCCCTTTAACCTCCTAGGACCTGGCGTCCACATATGTGGACATCACATTTTGGGTTATTTAGACCAAAATACTAAATGTTGCTCTACAAGGGCCTGATATCCACTTACAAGGACATTATACTGCTACTGTTCTATTGAAATTTTAAACAAATATCCTCATATGCGGCTCTCATTTTTCTTAGAAACAAAAATTAGGTTAAAAAAAAAAATCTGGTAATTCTTTGTTTTTACATTCATCAGGTCCCAATCAGCCCAAATATCAAAGAGAAATTAAAAATGCATGCTGTGGAAGAGTTCAGGTCTTAGGTGGTTAAAGAAGATGAATACGGTTTGTATCTCTGTCAAAAGCCCAGCAGAGGGCAGCATCATCCTGCAGCCGTTTTAGATGAAAACAATCTCTGTGAAGATCTGTCTGATAAGGAAAAGACTGAAATAAACCGAAAGAAAATACGTTTGCTTTAAAAAATAATAATAAAGAAGACAATCACTGACAGTTTGCAGGTAACTGACAAGGTAAATTTACTCCAGAGTCACAGACAGTTGAGGAAGAACACTAAGAAGAAGCTGTTCAGCACAGACCACCTGCTTTTTGCATTGCAACGCCTTTAAAGTAAGTAAGTGTGCTAATGATCAGCAGGTCACAGTGATCCAGTCATGCTCTTCTTTCAAACATGGCAACCATCCAGCTGCTCTCCAAACCAAACACGTCTGGTTTACAAAGCCTGCTCTAGTTTACGGTCAGCAAAGTACAAAGTGCTCGAGGAAAAAAGGCGACGGTGTCATCAGGAAAACGCAACTGAGAAAACACAGTCTTGTGTTCCTGCTGTGCAACAAAACGCAGCGGTGGGAAGAGGAATTCCTGAGGTTCAGAGTCGCCACGAGTAGCTCATTTAGCCGAGCTCATAATAAGTCAGTGTTAACAGGACAGGACATGCTGCGGTTTTTATATCCAAACATCCGCTTCAACAGATTACAACCATAAATCAGGCATTTGCAGGCAGCAGTAAATCACCATCAGCGTAGACCTGAAAAACAGCCACTGCAGTCGTTAAATTTGTTCTCCTAATTTTGGAGCGTGTATGTGTGTTTAACACGCCTTTAAATTTGAAGCATCATAACCAGTCAGCATCTAAAGTACAAATTCTTTTACCCAGACCAGCTGACACTGTGGTTTACCTCATCTTTGAGCCAGCAGAGGCTCACATATGATTGTGAGATATTGTATGTCTGAAGAACTTTAAAAATGTAACCCTTTAAAGCTTAAACCACAAAGTAATCGCTAGAAAATTCTTATATTTTTTTGAAAATCGAGAGCTTATTGAACCTTACGAAACGCTTTAATTAAATACAAAATTTGTACTATAGTTGCTACATTTGGGATTTTTTGCATCTTATAGGTTAAAAATCTACTGTGCAATTTAATTAAGCTTTTAATGTTGATGATGACAACGATATAGAAGTGTTACAAACTCATACATCAGCTCATGTGTGATACACTTGGCACGACAGGGTTAAGAATATAAAAAGTCCAAAAAACACATGTATTGTAGCGTTTTTACATTAGTTTCATATCCTATTCAACGAGCTGAAATTTATTTTGTTTAATTTCTTGTTTAAAAATGTTATTTTAGTTTTTTCAAAATCAGTTTCAGAATAATTTTTAGACTCCAGCCTTAATGTGGAGGCTGCTTCTCAGACTGAAGTGATGCAAGTTTTTGCCATGCATAGGTTTAGTATTAATTAACTATAATAACCTTGAAAAAGCTTTCACAGGACCTGTCAGTAACTCGACCAAAACCAGTGTGCCACTGGTTTTAAGCTCAATTCACTGGGCTTCTCCGAATTAAAACATTGTCACGTGCAGATCAGGTCAGGGAGCTAACGTTTCACACATTAGTCCTGTCATGCCAAGCTAGTAAAAGTGTATGAATTGATGGTGCAAAATTTAAAAAAAAGTGACTCACTTTATGGAGGGTATCTACACCAAAATAATAAATGAGGAGAGCACTCGACCATCGGTGTCTAACACGAATTCAGGTAAAGTTCAGGTGTATCTATTTGTCCAGAGGAAGGAGAAACCACTGAATCCCTTCACCTGCTCTAACGTAAACCAAAGTGACGACAGATGCTCTGCAGAGGAAACAACCCCATTTAAAAAAAAAAAAAAAAAAAAAAAAAAGGACCACTGCTCGCTCCCTCCTGACTTTTCTCTAGTGTTGCTTTTTGCTTCGGTCCTTATCATACATTAGGTCATTTTTGTAGCTCTGGCAGTGCTCGCCTTCAGCTCTCCTCAAGTAACAGCCTGTCTCCTGGTATCTCCCTTCAGACTGTGCTGGGGGACTCTGCAAACCTGTGGAAGCTGAACTGGCTGCAGTTGCACACTCGTTCTACCAACAATGACACGAGCAGGTCAGGAGGGAAAATGAGAGCATGATTTCATTTGTATTAAAGCAGGTGAAATGGACTCATGGATGCTTCTTGACAGCACGGACCGACGTCCCTGAAGTTTAACTGAGTTGTTACTCAACTGAGCTGTGATGATCAAGCATTTGCTTAATTTTCGAGCTGTGCCACATTCAAAGAATGTGTGTGCAAATATAAAAGATCCTGGCCAGTCTTCGGCAGAAAAGTCAGACTCAGGTTTCATGTTCACATGAAGAAAAAAAATAATAATAAAAATTGATTAATTAAAAAACAACAGCACCTCACTTTGCATGTCACATGTCAAAAACAGTCACGTGAATTTTTTAAAAAATGTCCAGTTTTCTTTAAGGCAGAAGGTTCTGGCTCCAGCGTTAAACTGAGGTTCGTATTTGTAACAGAGGGAGGAGCTCGCCGCTCCCTTACAGCTGCTACGAGTTTCACAGGAAGCTTCATCTTTCACTGAGTCTCTGAGGTATGACATGAATACATCGTTGCTCACGGAGGTGTGCAACAGGATGCAATTTGATTGTGTGCTCAGAATGTGCAAGGCTCTATCTACTAACACAGTTTTGGGTTTGCTGGATCATTCGACTCCACTGTGTGTTTTTTGTCAGAGGGCGAACTATTCATCTGCTCCAGCTCTAAATCCAAAACTTTCTCTTTGGCATCGAGGGAACGTCTTTGAGGAGGCGGTGGATCAGTACAGGAGAAAAAGCGAGGCAGGGTGGTCATGGTCAGCATACCGAGGACGAGGAAGGAGCCGGCCACCATGAAGGAGGCGATGTAGTTTCCTGTGACGTCCTTCAGGAATCCTGAAAGAAAACCTGGATATTACTTGAAATGTAAGAAACCGTAAAACTGAGAATGAGATGATGAAAGACTGAGGGATAAACTGACGTGCACAATATCGGCCTCATGTCGATTAAAGGAAAACACTGCAGTGTTTAAAAAAATATGAAGCCCTGATAAAGCTCTGCAAAATCACACGTTTAATCATTGAATACTAGTAAAAAAGAAGCCTTGTAGGGTAAAATAAGAGCTTCTGAACAGCTCATTCATTTTTCTGCCTTGAATCCAGTGACCTCTAACAGTGCAGACAGTTAAAGTGGAAAAAATGTGGCAGGAAACCTAAGATCAGACATTTGATCTGTAAAAGGGTTCATTTTTGTGTTAAACTCTTTTTTACATGCTTTGAAATTAACATAAAACAGAAACAGGTCAATCAGTTACTGACAGCTCATTTTTTATTGTCAAAGCTTTCTGCTTTGGGTTGAATGTGGAGAAAGAATGATTCTGGTGACACTAACCAAAAACTGAGGTGACGCAGCTCGCACGTCCAGTGATGATTTTTAAAAGTGAAAGTCGGATCGGCTTCACAAAACTTGATTTTTGCTCTCTGCACAGGTTTGAGGTTAACAGTAAAATGCCACAAAGTGATCTAAAAAGTAGCAGGTGTGCAGACAAGGTGTCTGCCTTTTATAAGAGCAGTTATCCAAGCTTATGACAGCACCACATTCAGTGTGTTGTATTTTGGGCTGATTTAGGTCACTTTAGATAGATTCTTTTCAAACTAAAGCTACAATGGAGTCATTTTTGTTATAAGCTGGCTTTATCTCAGCAGCTTTAACGCACACCTACCTGACAAAGGAGTCCCCAGAAGTCCAGCACCACTCTCGATGAGCTGCAGCAGTCCGAGTGCCCCCATCGTGCGCTCCACGCCCACAATCATGGGCACCACTGCAAAAACAACGGAGGTCAAAGCCCCAGAGCAGAAGCCATAAAGCAGGCTGATCACCATCAGAGCGGCGTAGGAGCCAGACATGGAGCTCACTGGCAGCAGCATGATAAACACTCCTGCTAGGCCTGTCCACAAGGTCAGTAAATGAACAACCCGAAAGTGGCCCAGGTCGGAGAACCAGCCCGACACTACGCGCCCCAAAATGTCCGAAGCACCTGCAGCTGACATAACGAAGGCAGCTTGGTACTCTGAGAAGCCAACTTGGCGACTGTGGGCCACCAGGTGGAAGTAAGGCACGAAGTAGCCGACGTTAAACAGAGTAACGCCCAAAGTGTAAGTGAGATAGGGCCTCTCAGTCAGCAGGGACAGCTCCAGGTAAGAGGCGATGCGCCGCAGCATGGACGCACATGACTTTGTCTCTGAATCCACCTGCAGGAGAGGAAACAAGGAAAGTCTGAGCTTTATCTTTACATATCGCTCCAAAGTCAGTGAGCAAGAAACTTTACTCTTCTGTCCTGATGGTTATGACAGAGAACATTATGATATTCCTCTCTGAGAGAGACATTTTTACTTAAACCAGACCACTGCCTTGCTCCTCCTTCTGTTCTACCTTTGCCGGTGCTTTAGAGCGCCGCTGTGGACGGATCAGCGCCCCGCAGGGTACAATGTTGAGGCTGAGAGCCCCCAGGATCAGCAGGGCCCCTCGCCAGGCGTACGTCTCCACCAGCAGCTGAAAGAGCGGGTTGAAAGCGAAGGAGGAGAGGCCGATGCTGGAGAACCCCAGTCCCAGAGCCAGGGCACGCCGGCGAGTGAAATTAGCCATGACTGTGGCCACCATGGGAGTGAAGACCATCCCCCATCCAAAACCTGGAGCACAAAGCGAGCAAAGTACACCATGAGAGGCAAGCGAGCAGTTCACTACTTTACGAGTTAATCGGTTAACTGTTAAAACCCTCTTTAAACCCTGGAAAAAAAAAAGAAAAAGAAAAGAAAATCCTACTTTCGGTCAGTAAATGTTACAAAGCTGTAAGACAACCTCAGGCTCCGCAGATGGGAGACACAACTTAACATATTGTAAATGTGAAATAAAAATGTTTCTCTGACCCATCACCTGACTTGGAAAACAAAAATCAATTTTTTGCGCTCTTCCTCTGATGAGTACGGGAAACTGGGTGGATGCACTATCATATCAAATGAGCGTGAACACCACAACACGAGTAGAAGAACACTGGCAAAGTGCACAAGGTAAATAGTACAAAATAATACCACTGATGTATGCAGTACACGGTGTGTGTACAAAACATCTTGAAGCACCAAACTTAAAGCAGATCTGTTGGTGACGGTGTAGTGAGGGGGGACAGTTAGCTCATGGCATGCATAGAAGCAGCAATAACTGAAAACAACTACACTCTGCAGCGTAACAAGAGTGTAGTTGCACCTGTGTGAGTGACTCACGCCTGAAATACACCTGCTGCTCGTCTGTGATGTCACGTCTCAGATGCAGTTTTGTGCTTTTTGTCACACGGCTTGAAATGAGTTCAGCAGTGCAGCGTGTTCATTTTGAACATTTACCTGTGTCTGAGTCATTCTGACTTGTATTTTGTCTTTTTGTGAATTATTATTCATCTCTGGCTCTCTTCCACAGCATGGTTTTGTTCCGCCTCCCTCCCCTCACGCCCAGAAAAGCAAAGCAGATGGGTGTCCCTCCTTGAGCCTCGTTCTGTGGGAGGTTTCTTCCTTTTTAAGGGTTTTTTTTCCTTCCTACTGTCGCCAAGTGCTTGCTCATAGGGGATCATCTGATTGTTGGGGTTTTCTCTGTATTGTTGTAGGGTCTTTACATTCAAAATAAAGCACCTTGGGATAACCGTTGTTGTGACTTGGTGCTGTATAAATAAAGCAGAACTGAACTGAACAGAATCTTGTTTCTGCACGATGTGCAGAAGTCATCTTTCTTTAAAAAGTGAGTTTAATTATGACTGCTGGCACTGAATTAAGTATTTTTAACATTTTTACCGTAACATTGTGACACCCAGCTAACCCTAACTGTAAGTTAAAGTTGAAAGTGCTACAGCTGTGTACCGATGCTTTTCACTGGATGTGCCAAAAAACAGGAGCTAAAGCGGGCTAAAACTGGTGGTTTAAGACTCTAATACACGTTACCTGAAATTACTCCCATCGTGAGGTAGAGGTGTACGAGACAGGTGGACTGCGAGGCAAGTGTGAGGCCGAGCCCGGCCAGAAAGCCTCCCGTCATCACCACCACTCTGGGATTGTAAGCATTACACAGTGCAGCGGCCAGTGGACCTGCAGAACAAGCAAACACATTTACATCATTTATTTATAACTATATCAACCTTTTCCCCCCTTTAGAAGATTTAAGGTTGAAAGACCTTAATCCAAACAGGGTCACATATGCATCCTGTAGTAGTCTGTATTTACCCTTTAGTCTCACCATAAGTGTTTTAATGCATTAAGAAAGAAAAATAATTACTGTACAGTTGTCACCTGTAATACTACAAACTGCACACTCACACTTCCACAAACATCAATGACTCACTGAAGAACTGCTGAGCTGCCAGGCCGGTGGACGAGATCCAGGAGATGGCCTGGGCGCTCTCCTCGAAGTACTGAACGAACTCCACAAAGAAGATGCCCAGGCTCCGCATCAGGCCGAACACGAGGCTCGAGCTGACAAACATGGCGACAACCAGCACCCAGCCCCAGCCTCCATCCGGGCCCTCGGCCTCATCGCTCTGGCTCTGCGATTTGGACTTTATGTTGGTCATTTCCAAAGGAGAGTTATCTGAAATGCAGGTGAGGAGAACAATGAATGAGTGCAGAACAAGTCTCAGATCCTGTCTGTGATTCTCAAAAGCCATAATTGATTAACTTCCCACAGGCCAATAAATGGTCTGGTTGACCCATGCATGTGTGACTCAGCTGCAGGTCTTCATTTGACAAGAAAATATAGGTGAGAGGTGAGAGTAACCGCTGAAGTGTTCATACATCAGCTCTGATCAAATATTTACACGCTCACTGGTTTTGATCAATGATAAATCATATTTCACTGCCAGAGGGGAACATGGTGCAAGTCTGAGTGTGTCAACATAACTCAGAGTTTAACGGTGTTGCATCTCTTTATAAATTATGAATGATTTACAAAGCAGCTCTGTTTATTTATTCTAACCATAAATTATGATGTTTTGTTTGACTTTGACTTATCAGCTGACCTCAATCTGGGTCATACTCGTTAAACATTCACAGCTATAAAAAGTCATAAAATGGGTAATACTCATTCTGCACAGTCTTTTGACCCAGATTTACATACAAGTTAAACAGAGGCTTTTATTCATGATTAGTGACAAGTATTGTAAACAATCATCACACTATGGATGCAGTGTCAAACACAATGAATAAAAAGGTAACTTGCAGAGTATTAAAAAGGGTAAATACATATCTGTAAAGTATCAGTATCTCTTTAACTTTATGAAGAAAAGCTTGTGAGCCACTACAGCCATTGTGATGCTGTTAATGACTTTCTATGATGTGTTATTTCCCACATTTTCACTTTCGTTTTTCTGGTTTCTGTTCAGCTGTCAGCCATTTATCTCCCTGAAAACTACTTCCTCTTCCACGTGAGTCATCAGCTCACACATATATATGCAAAATCTCCTTCACACCCCAAGACTGCACTCTTCCACATGGAGCTCTGACGCCGAGATGTTGTTCCTGGAATCTGCTGCAACTCTGGGTTACAGCTCCTAATGCTCCCATTATCACTAGGACCCTTGTCAACTTTACCTTCCACATCTGCTCCAACTGTTTCTTCAGCCCTTTGTTTTACTGAACTCCTCCTCTTGCTGTTTAGATGTCCTGCCAACAAGTTTTTTCAAAAAGGTCTCAAAGACTTTAGAGTCAGACCTGTTACAGATCGTCAACTTTTCTTTATTATCAGGTGTGTTTCCAAAACCACTAAAAACTGCTGTAATCAAACCTATACTGAAAAAGGACAATCTTGACAAGACACAAATGAACAACTACAGGCCGATCTCAAATCTCCCATTTTTAAGTAAGATCATTGAAAAAGCAGTTTCTCAACAGCTCAATTACTTCTTAAAACAGAACAACTGCTACGATGCCTTCCAGTCAGGTTTTAGACAGAACCACAGCACTGAAACCTCTCTGACCAAAGTGTTTAATGACATATGTCTGAATACAGACAGTGGAAAAATGTCAGTCTTAGTTTTACTGGATCTCAGTGCAGCATTTGATACAGTTGACCACAACATATTACTCAAACGACTGGAGAACTGGGCAGGTCTTTCAGGAACTGTACTAAACTGGTTCAAAACATACGTAGAAAACAGGAAATACTTTGTATCAATAGGTAACTGAGCAGACAAGTATCACATGTGGAGTTCCCCAAGGTTCCATCTTGGGACCCCTTCTGTTTAACATTTAGATGCTCCCACTGGTACAGATTATAAAGAACAACATAAACTATCATAGCTATGCAGATGACACACAAGTATATATCACAATGTCACCAGGAGACCAAGGCCCTGTACAGGCTCTTGGTAAATGCATTGAGGAAATCAATGACTGGTTGTGCCACAATTTTCTCCAGCTAAACAAAAACAAAACTGAGGTAATAGTCTTTGGCGCCAAAGAAAAACGATTACAGGTCACCAGAGAACTTCAATCTATACACCTAAAAACCACAAACCAGGTGAGAACTTTGGGTGTAGTGATGGATGCAGACCTAAACTACTGTTTTTTTTAAATCAATTTTAAATCATGCTTTTTATTTGTTTTTGTTTTTTAATGTCTCTGTAAAGCACTTTGAATCACCTTGTTGTTGAATTGTGCTATATAAATAAACTTGCCTTGCCTTATGTGCTCTTTCTTCTTGATGTTGCCGTCCACTGGGGATTGCCAGGCTATCACAACTGTGGTTTTCTGTTCCTTGTCACACACCGCTATGGTTATATGGTTGGTTTACCGGCAGCTGCTCGTCTGCCTGGAACTGTCAGTCCCACAGGAGCCCTGCTGTTCTCAACCAGCTTTAGTGGTTTCTCTCACCGTGGCAGTCTGCAGCTTGGGCCCTGTCGGCTGTGGCAGACTTCTCCCACTGTGGATTTGGTGTTTAGGGACACTTGTGCTGACACGATAAGAGCCTCTGTGCCATCCTTTACGCCCTTTCGCACTTCATGCGGGAGCTTGAGCTTCTATGTTCCTCATCATGGTCTGTCTTTAGGCACCTGAGACACTTTTGAAGCAAGTAACCTTGGGGAGCAGTCATCCTTTTTTTGTGTGAGGTAAACAAGACCAGTAAGGACAGGTCAACAGACAAAAAGATAAGCAAACTGTGTGAAAATATTATTAAACTGAGTCCAGTGTACTCCGTTAACTATGCACAGTAAAGTATGTGTTGATTAAAAAAAAAAAAAGGTACATGAAATAATTTCATAGTCATGAAAACTATATAAACTATATATGCTAAAGAAATAACAAAAATAAACAAATAAAAAAAATGCCCTGAAATGCAATATTGTCTATGATGATGATGATGATGATGATGATGATGATGATAATAATAATAATAATAATAATAATAATAACAGAAAATAATAATTATACCTCGTAATGACACTACTATAAGTAGTAAAAATACATGAATTAAGGGGAGGGGCAATTTTATTAAATTGTGATTTCCTTTTGAATCCCCTTTAAACTGTCAGCCCCAGAGCAAGCCAACAAAAGGCATGTAGGGAGCTGATATCCCAGGGCACATCCCAATCACCCCCCAACTCAGAAGCACCCATATCGGCCATCACTGACATGTCTGCCCTGTTCTTTTGTTGTCATAATAAAAGCTTGTTATATTAGCTTGTTCAGTGGAGAAATTAGAACGATCCTTTTCTTTTGAGAAGTGTTCTATATAATTTTGGTTTGGATTAGGATCTAGTTTATATAACTGATTATAGAAGGATTTGAAAATGTTGTTGATGTCTTGGGGATTCTGAAATGGTTCTCCAGTTAAATTTTCACATTTATGCTGACTCCTTCTTTACTGCTATATTGGAAGCTGTCGTATTTAAGCTGTTTAATGATAAATTGTGTTTTTTGTGGGTTAATACCTTCCACACAATGATCACGTTCCTGGATTGATGGGTGGGGTAATATGTTTACTGTCTAGATGTGGGATTATTTATTCTCCAACTATCATCAAGTCCGTAAGAGTTCATATAATGGTTTATTATATATGTTGAATGTCAGAATCTGGAGTTGCTATTGGAATATGAATATATTTTAGGGGTGAAAAGTGTATTAAGATATCCATCTATTGTAGTAATTGTCGAGTCATTTATAAACAATTATCTTAATAAAAGAGAAAAAGCTATGAAACAAGGATAGGTCCACATTGTTGGGTCCATAAATGTTTGCAAGGGTATATGTTATATTGTGAATTGTTTGGTGGTGTATGTTGATGAGTAAATATGTAAATATGTCTATGTTGATTAGATTTAAGGTTTTGATGTGTATATCCATCAATTTAATGTGATTAAGAAAGAAAAACATTAAAGAGAAGATTATGAGTTTCATCCAGAGTTTCATCCCTGACTGCAATCCCCTCTCCATCTTACTCGTAGATTTATCGTGCTGGAATTTGTACCAATGGATTCGAGCTCATTCATATTGCTGAGCTGGCCTCTCACCACCAGTCTCATCTCTTTGAGGCTGGTGCTCCTCAAATACCTTCTCTTGACTGCCCCAGGTAACACAGGTGCTGGAGTCTTACCTTACAAATATTTACCTTATGTATAAATATGTATGTTATGGCTTTTCCTTGCATGCATGTAATTATAACACACCATACTGGAGTCAGACAATAATAGTGCAGACTGTCTGGCTGAGCAACATCCGAGCAATAAGTTACAAATGAGTCAAAGCATCAGAAAGTTAAACCACCAAATCCACCCATAACCTAATGTTACTCACTGCTCAGCAGAAGGAATCACAGGAATTTGCTGCTAACACACATGAGCTCAAAGACTTAAGACTTAAAGCCATCATGAAACTAAAAGTAAAATGTCATTCTCAACAAATACAACTTTGACCCACTGCTTGTCTGCTTCACCATAACAAAATGTACACTTTGAGTTTTACCTGCAGAAGAAGAAGCAGTCCGGCAGAGTTAGATAAAAGGGGGACAGCAGACACTTAAACAGGACCAGCTGCTATGTCCACCATTCGTTTCCTACAGCCTACAAAGTTGTCAGCAGCTTGTACGAGGGTTCTGTTAACGCAGATAACCCCGACAGCTCGCTGTAATGAAGCTGGGTTTATTTCCTATAAAGAAAGAAGTCCATGTCTGTCCGAGTTGCCTGTGGTGACTAACACTAACTGGTTATTTTAAAGGCTGATTCACAGACTCGGAGATACATTTCACACAAACTTCAAACGAAAGCTAAATGTTTTGCCGGCTACACTCGAACAGGTGGACGACCGCGCGGTGGACATTGTGCACGTGCCTTCTCCCCAATCATTATCACATGCACTTGACGTCGACGCATTTGGCGCGTGCGCACTGGCTGTCCGAGGCGACACAAAAATAACTGCTTTTCATGTTTTCCAGCTAAACTATTTGAAAATGTGTTTCAAGCGCAAGTCAGAGGTCTCAAGTGACGTCATTATTAACGTGTGCGCGTGAGCAGAGGTATGACAGCGTTCACTGTGAGAACTTCACCTTTTCTAGCGGAGTGAGAGTGAAAAAGCCGGCTGACCGATTAACTGTAAACAGCTGAGCAAAGCCTCACTGCGCTGCTCACGGCGACACAACTCACCCCCGGTGCATTCTTTTCCCCGGACCACCTCGTGGTCCACGGTCTCCAGTTTCACTTTTGTAAACAGTTAAATTACACAATAAGGCTCTGTAGTCCACCCACGAGTACACTCAGGAAACTTACAACCGGTGCGCGTGCGCAGTCCTCACGCGCATACTGCCATGAAAACAAGATGAATCTTATCTGAAAAAACAAGTCTTATCACTAGGTTTACATAAATATAAGATGCGTTGTGTCTTTTTAAGTGAAGTGGAATTTCAGACCACTTCAGATTTTATAAAAATCCAAAAGTTTTTGAGCTAAATTTTTTCCTACAATAGTTAAATAAACTTCCCAGTAGGGCACTAAAGACTAATTTTATTCTCCTGTCATTATCTAGATTAATATCCTTTCAGAGCTGCTTGTTGATGATGAGATTTTAAGAACCTGGAAGATGCACAACTTCAAGAAAGAAGCAAAAAAACAAACAAACCCCAAAACAAAATAGGTAATCCAGTGGCTTAGACTTGAAACCATGGGCTGTTAAGGACCAGAGATTCTCTATAGTGTGTTATCAACCAATCAGATGAGCCGGTAAAAGTATGTAGACAGTGTAGAGTGAAACAGGTTTAACGGTTATCTGCCTTGTAGGTGTTCAGGATACAGACACTAAAGGGAAGCAACAACAAGGTTCAAAAATTACAACTGACCAGATTTGATTTATTTCTGACTCACAGGCAAACTCACATAAATGACCTTAAATCCAAAAAGCTGATTCTGTTCATCTGCATCTGCATGTAGCTTTTTCAGTGGGAGAAACACTTCGTCACTCACCTGTCCACATTCCTTCCTGATTAAATAACTGTTAATTTTTATTTTATTTTAGGTTAAATATCAACTATTACCTGACAATGATGAGTGTTGAAGGATATTATTTGAGAACCATTCCTTTTGCAAAAGAAACAACACGATGAAAACACCTGAATACACATAATACTTTATTATTAGAAATTTATAGATAAAATGATAAAAGTAAAAGTATTTCTTCTGTTATGAGGATCAATTTAACTGCTGCAGATGGTTAAGACTGAGCTTTTTTTTTAACACACTATATTCTCTCTAGAATAATAGAGCACATCCAGAAAAAAATGTTTATGACATGGTAAGTTTTAAATCATCATTTTCAATCATACTTATGACATAGATATTTTTAATCTTTAATCTCTTAAGTGCTTGATAAAAATCATAAAAGCAAATTATTTCTGCTGCAGTAATTAACCTGCAGTGAGTCAGAGAGGTTTAAAACTTACTCTGTAGAACAAATAAAGTTATATTTCTCATGTTCTCTTTGACTGACCCACTGATACCGTCCTCCTCTTTCCATAGCTGCACACCTACCACACTCCTCAATCTTTCCATTATCAGCCCAGTTCTCGTAGCAGACTAGTTTGTCACTGATCCAGAACCACAGATCCATCACGCAGGTGTAGCGCAGTCCCACCCATATGTAGGGACTGCTGGCATTCTTGGCTCTCCTCTCCACCCATCTCTGTTGGTGAGGGTTAGTGATGGAGACCAGGTCAGTGTGGTACAGTCTGCAGTAATCCAAGGCTTCCTCCCAGGTCTTGTTTTCATTGATCAGAATCAATTTATCTGTCAGAAACAATCAAACTTCAGTTAAGTCTGGTTAACAGCAGCTTATGTTCCACTTTACCTTGAATACAGACAGTACACAATAAAACATTGTAGTTTTTCACTTCCTTTAGCTGTATACTTAATTATTGTAAGTGTGTACAGTGCATTTGGAAAGCATTCACAGTTCCACATTTTGTCCTGTTACAGTCTTATTCCAAAATAGATTAAATTTCTTGTTCACTTCAAAGTTCTGCACATGATACCCCAAAATGAAAAAGTGGGGAAAAGATTGTTGAAATTCCTGCAAATCAAAAGCAAAAATATGGCATGTACAGTATGTAAGTATTTACACTTTGTTGAAGTATCTTTGTCAACACTTGAAGCTTCAAGCCTTCCTGAGTATGATGCTACAAGCTTGGCATATCTATTTTAGGGCAGTTTCTCCCATTCATTGCACAACCTCTGAAGCTCCATCAGGTTGGATGGTGCACAGCCATTTTCAGATTTCTCCAGAGAATCAGGTTCAAACTTTGGCTCTTGCTGGTCACTTGAGGACCTTCACAGTGGTTCTGCAGCCACTTGTTTTTATCTTGGCCGTGTGCTTGGGGGCTTGTCCTGTATAAAATGAACCTAATGTGGATCTAATGTCCGGTGCACTCTGGAGCAGCTTATTCAAAAGAATCAAATTTACCATCACTAGCTCACTCTACTAAACAGGCCTGATTGTTGGAGGGCTTCAGAAATGATTTTCTTCTGGAAGATTCTCGCTCCACAGAGCAATGCTGGAGCTCTGTCAGAGTGACCATCACTCCTTGACTAAGGCTTTTCTACCTCAAACTCTCTAACTGGCGAGGTGGCAGCTCTAGGAAAGTCCTGGTGGTTTCAAACTTCTTCCATTTACAGATCTCTGAGCTTATTGGGACCTTCAGTGCTGCAGAAATGTTTCTGTGCCTCTCAACACAAGCCTGTCTCAGAGCTCTACAGACAATTCCTTGGATCTTCTAATGATGCTCCTATTACAGGGAAAATAAATCAGATTAATCTTAGTAGAAACTCACCACCATAACAGAAGAAATACTTTTTTTTGTTGCATTCATCAGAGCTCCATTTTCTTGATCTGTTTAACAGAGTCGAAGCACATTTCTTTTTGTTTTGTCCATCATTAAATGACTCCATATCCCAGTGCCTGAAAGAGAAATTACTTCCATCTGACCACCTCCAGGTGTCTCTGAACAGGCCGATCCACAAATCCTGAGACTTTTTCAGGATCTTAAATTCTTGCCCATCCACCTGATCGAGTCCACTGGCCAGGTCAGTGTAGTGATCTCTGCAGTAGTTCTGAGCCTTTGTCCAGGTTATCTTCTCCTCAATCAAATGAATCGATTTACCGTCTCTCTTCTTTTCTGTTAAGGAAAAACATCAAAACAAAACAAAATTTCCATCACCACAAACATTTTGAAGAAATACAGAAAGACACATAATTTGTATGATTCCTCAAACATGCTTTCTCTCCATTTCTCTTTCAGTTCAGTTATATTATCAAATCAGACTATTATCCACATATTCTCACCATCGTAGCAGATGAACGGCATCATTTGGTCACATCTGGCATGTGTCCAGTTTCCTCTTGTCTTCACACAGTTCTCATTTTGATTTTGATCATCTGGTTCAGAAGCTCCCCATCTGGTTTCATGTTCAGTGTAGTTCACCCCTGGCAGAGACCAATGCCACATCCTGTTTTCTTTTCCTGGGTTGCTGAACAGTCCAATCCAGGCTTTACCTTCATACTCTTTGGATTCATGCAGTCTCGCCATGTCTGCCATGTCAAACACGCTGGCCAGGTCTGCATAATTCTCTCTGCAGTATTTCTGTGCTTCTTCCCAGGTTTTGTCTTCTCTAATAAAGTGGTACTCATACAGGTAACAGGTGGAGACGAAACACTGACCTAAAAGCAGTAAAATATTAGCAATAATGCTGCATTATCAAATCAAACTCACTGCTTCACAGATAAACAGTCTACAACACAAGTGTGACTCTGAGCTCAGTGACCTTGTCAATGAAAGACAAATGTGTGCAGATAAAACAAATAGATGAAAATCAAATGGAAAAACAAAGAAAAGACAGAAGAAGTAAGAAGACAAGACATTACAAAAAACACGGTAAGTTTGTAGGATTCAACAAAACACACACCAGGTAGAGAAATATCATCTCTATAGGGAACTCAATCAGAATTTTCCACTTACCCATCAGAATCAGCAGAAAGAGACTCCACTGCATCTTTAATCTGCCGGATTAAATAAATATTTCATTAGATAATGAAATCATGTTTCATTTCATAGATGGTCTGGTTATAATCATCATTATAATCTGGGTGTACAGATTGGAAGTTCAGCTGGACCCAAATGCAGACACGAGCAGGCAGCCAGAGTTGAAATGTTTTACATCACTCATGTATACATCAAAACATAGAATTAGGCTTTATCACTGTTGTAAAAATACTCCATGCTGTACTAATACAGAGGTGTCTTATTGTTGAGGTCAGGAGCTGCCAGATCTGTTTTCTCTGGTAGTCTGCATGCATGAAAGAGTCTCTGCTTAACATAACTGATATTATATTAAGGCTGATTCTTCGGTTTAAAGGTGCTTTTCTTTTAAATCCAGTCTGCTGCATATCTTAGAAATTGATTTTGAAATATATAAATATATATAAACATAAACAAACACAAACATTCAATGAATTACAGATTTCAAACTTACATCTGGTTAGTCTTTTGGTCCTTTGTCTAATTTGGCCTCTTTCCTCGAAGGGTTCAAATAAACACTGAAATAAAAGCAAACACAGAGAGCTCATTATGCAAAGATCGGAATTTATATATTAAAATACTGCTGCTGCTTTCAGAAAGATAAAGACGAGGGAGTTTTTTACACGTATGAAAGCGGTATTCTGTTACGTGTTGTAGCTTATAGCTTTTTCCTCAATGATTGTAAAACTGTATAATTTTGTTGTTGTCTCTTGTTTTTGAACTGACTTCTCATCATATACTTTACCAATGAAAAAGCTGATGATGGTTTGGATCGTTTATATGCAGAAATATTGAAATTATGGAATATTTATACTTGTATTGTGAGCTTGTTCTTTACCTGAGTGTTTTATCTTGATGTCGCTTTACAATTTCCTTACTTTTGCATGTAAACACTGAAACACTGCTGATAAAATAAGACCTGAATCTGTGGATAATTAGCTTTTTATTACTTATTTTTCATTTAAATTCACTTTTGTTATTATTGGATGTCGTCACTTACAGTCCTATGTCTCTGAACTTTCCCACACACGTTGGAGAATATGACTGTTTTTCAATAACTATCATTAAGAGATTATCTTAATTTTCATATGAACACATTTTTCACTGTACATGTAACGTTATAAATCCTCCCAGTGTGGATCATATTTACATTTTGAATGCAAATTTCTCTGAAATGATTACAGATAAACATGTGAGCAAATGAGCCATACGCTCAGAAAACTTCCCACGAACTCCAGTCGTCTGCAAAATGACCTCACATATGTATATTTTTGAAAAGTGATCACAAGCATTTCTTATTAGTTCCTCCTGTTCTTTAATAGTACTTGTTAAGCAGGTTGTAACCTATCTAGGGGAGCTATGCCTTAAACATCTCTGTCAGCTGACATACGAGTGGTAATTTTTTTCATTAAATGAATGAATTAGGATAAAAACCATTAGAGGTTCATAATAAACTGACAATAAATGTAATGAAGGTGGGAATATGAGAGAGTGAAAGGATAAAAGAGAACGTATTTTTAGTGTTTTTGCTTTATATTCAGAAAAACAGACTAAAATATCTAAAAAATGGCAGAAATACAGACTGCCATTTGTAATGCCTCAGGTAAACATCCTGAGGATCAAGGTGCAGTATATGAAAGGGAAAAGATACAGTGTAACTTGTTACGACATGTTGTGAAGTGAATTGGATTTTAAACCATGTGCTCACATAAGCACAGGAGCTGTATGCTGTGCATGCTGCTCCCTCAGACTGTTGCTGAAGGAAATACAGTGCTGTAAAAAGTGTTTTCTCCTTTCCTGATTTCTTAGTTTGTGCATATTTGTTACATGTTTCAGATCATCAACCAAATGTTAATATTAGACAAAGACAACCTGATTTTTTGAAATTATGGTTTCATCTAAAGGGAGGAGGTTATCTAACAGTGTCCTACAGTGTTTTTTTAGCATCAAGGGTGTCATAAAGTTTGTTGTTTCTCTTATTTAATGTAACTCCACCGCTATCAGCACTTTGTCAGTCATTTTATTTTTAAAAAAAGTCTCTTTTTGTTTGCGGTTAAAACAAACAAACAGTAAGAGCCCTGTGAGTGTTGAGATGTGCAGACAGCAGAGGAGTCAAAGCCAAGTGAAAAACTTATCAGGGCTCAGAAAAGGCTTCAGGTGGGTTTCTTATTTTGCTCACGCACAGCTCCAGCTCTGCCAGTAAAGACCTTAAAATCCTGTTTTCGGCAGCAGTGTTATTCCTGAGCAATCTTTTCTTGTTTGAATGCATCAGTCTGGCTCTGCTTTTCCTCCATGACAAGTAAAAGCATTAAAACATTGCTCTGAAGCGCTGAATGTAGCAAAGAGGTTATAGAAGTTATTTAGCTATTATTTAAACTGAATGATATTATCTCTTTCAGAAACATTCCTTTGTTCTTCACCCAACTTATATGAACATTATGTTTTACTTCAGGGGTGTGACGCAACTTTTCAGCAGGAAAAAACTCTTCCTGCACTCTTTAACGAGACAAACTGGAACGCATGAAAACACAGTGTACTGACTAACTCCTTCCAGGGTTAAAGAATAATAAAACTGTATTACATGTGTAGTTAAATATTTACTAATAGCTGACAATGACACATGTTGGAGGATTTATTTTAACAGCCATTCCTTTAGCATCGAAGCAATAAATACAACGAAAACAGCTGAATACACATAAAACTTTATTATTGGCAAGGTATACATAAAATCCTTAAAAGTAAAAGTGTCATCAGTGTTATATGGATCAATATTACTGCTGCAGATGGTTAAGACTGAGGTTTACTTTAAACAAATGATTATAACATGGCTATGAGGACCACTTATCTCTAAAAGCGACTTTTAATCATCATACAAACACACTTGGATATAACTTAAATTAAACAGCAGGTTAAACATTTATCATAGATGTTAATCGTCTTGGTTGAAACTGGACATGATGTCAGTTCCTCCTCTCTGCTTTCATTGCTAATATGCTAACACCACATGCTGTGATTTTCTGTGTAAATAACGCACACGAGACCCTAAAACAAAACTGTAATCACTCTTTTCATATAGCTTTTGTAATGTTGGATACAGTCTCTTTCCCCTAATCCATATTTTGGTTCTTAATATAAGACACAGGGGTGACTCACTGCAATATTATTATTGTTTTTTCATCTTTCTACATTCAGTGCTTGATAAAAATCATAAAAGCAAATTATTTCTGCTGCAGTAATTAACCTGCAGTGAGTCAGAGAGGTTTAAAACTTACTCTGTAGAACAAATAAAGTTATATTTCTCATGTTCTCTTTGACTGACCCACTGATACCGTCCTCCTCTTTCCATAGCTGCACACCTACCACACTCCTCAATCTTTCCATTATCAGCCCAGTTCTCGTAGCAGACTAGTTTGTCACTGATCCAGAACCACAGATCCATCACGCAGGTGTAGCGCAGTCCCACCCATATGTAGGGACTGCTGGCATTCTTGGCTCTCCTCTCCACCCATCTCTGTTGGTGAGGGTTAGTGATGGAGACCAGGTCAGTGTGGTACAGTCTGCAGTAATCCAAGGCTTCCTCCCAGGTCTTGTTTTCATTGATCAGAATCAATTTATCTGTCAGAAACAATCAAACTTCAGTTAAGTCTGGTTAACAGCAGCTTATGTTCCACTTTACCTTGAATACAGACAGTACACAATAAAACATTGTAGTTTTTCACTTCCTTTAGCTGTATACTTAATTATTGTAAGTGTGTACAGTGCATTTGGAAAGCATTCACAGTTCCACATTTTGTCCTGTTACAGTCTTATTCCAAAATAGATTAAATTTCTTGTTCACTTCAAAGTTCTGCACATGATACCCCAAAATGAAAAAGTGGGGAAAAGATTGTTGAAATTCCTGCAAATCAAAAGCAAAATATGGCATGTACAGTATGTAAGTATTTACACTTTGTTGAAGTATCTTTGTCAACACTTGAAGCTTCAAGCCTTCCTGAGTATGATGCTACAAGCTTGGCATATCTATTTTAGGGCAGTTTCTCCCATTCATTGCACAACCTCTGAAGCTCCATCAGGTTGGATGGTGCACAGCCATTTTCAGATTTCTCCAGAGAATCAGGTTCAAACTTTGGCTCTTGCTGGTCACTTGAGGACCTTCACAGTGGTTCTGCAGCCACTTGTTTTTATCTTGGCCGTGTGCTTGGGGGCTTGTCCTGTATAAAATGAACCTAATGTGGATCTAATGTCCGGTGCACTCTGGAGCAGCTTATTCAAAAAGAATCAAATTTACCATCACTAGCTCACTCTACTAAACAGGCCTGATTGTTGGAGGGCTTCAGAAATGATTTTTCTTCTGGAAGATTCTCGCTCCACAGAGCAATGCTGGAGCTCTGTCAGAGTGACCATCACTCCTTGACTAAGGCTTTTCTACCTCAAACTCTCTAACTGGCGAGGTGGCAGCTCTAGGAAAGTCCTGGTGGTTTCAAACTTCTTCCATTTACAGATCTCTGAGCTTATTGGGACCTTCAGTGCTGCAGAAATGTTTCTGTGCCTCTCAACACAAGCCTGTCTCAGAGCTCTACAGACAATTCCTTGGATCTTCTAATGATGCTCCTATTACAGGGAAAATAAATCAGATTAATCTTAGTAGAAACTCACCACCATAACAGAAGAAATACTTTTTTTTGTTGCATTCATCAGAGCTCCATTTTCTTGATCTGTTTAACAGAGTCGAAGCACATTTCTTTTTGTTTTGTCCGTCATTAAATGACTCCATATCCCAGTGCCTGAAAGAGAAATTACTTCCATCTGACCACCTCCAGGTGTCTCTGAACAGGCCGATCCACAAATCCTGAGACTTTTTCAGGATCTTAAATTCTTGCCCATCCACCTGATCGAGTCCACTGGCCAGGTCAGTGTAGTGATCTCTGCAGTAGTTCTGAGCCTTTGTCCAGGTTATCTTCTCCTCAATCAAATGAATCGATTTACCGTCTCTCTTCTTTTCTGTTAAGGAAAAACATCAAAACAAAACAAAATTTCCATCACCACAAACATTTTGAAGAAATACAGAAAGACACATAATTTGTATGATTCCTCAAACATGCTTTCTCTCCATTTCTCTTTCAGTTCAGTTATATTATCAAATCAGACTATTATCCACATATTCTCACCATCGTAGCAGATGAACGGCATCATTTGGTCACATCTGGCATGTGTCCAGTTTCCTCTTGTCTTCACACAGTTCTCATTTTGATTTTGATTATTTGGTTCAGAAGATCCCCATCTGGTTTCATGTTCAGTGTAGTTCACCCCTGGCAGAGACCAATGCCACATCCTGTTTTCTTTTCCTGGGTTGCTGAACAGTCCAATCCAGGCTTTACCTTCATACTCTTTGGATTCACGCAGTCTCGCCATGTCTGCCATGTCAAACACGCTGGCCAGGTCTGCATAATTCTCTCTGCAGTATTTCTGTGCTTCTTCCCAGGTTTTGTCTTCTCTAATAAAGTGGTACTCATACAGGTAACAGGTGGAGACGAAACACTGACCTAAAAGCAGTAAAATATTAGCAATAATGCTGCATTATCAAATCAAACTCACTGGTTCACAGATAAACAGTCTACAACACAAGTGTGACTCTGAGCTCAGTGACCTTGTCAATGAAAGACAAATGTGTGCAGATAAAACAAATAGATGAAAATCAAATGGAAAAACAAAGAAAAGACAGAAGAAGTAAGAAGACAAGACATTACAAAAAACACGGTAAGTTTGTAGGATTCAACAAAACACACACCAGGTAGAGAAATATCATCTCTATAGGGAAACTCAATCAGAATTTTCCACTTACCCATCAGAATCAGCAGAAAGAGACTCCACTGCATCTTTAATCTGCCGGATTAAATAAATATTTCATTAGATAATGAAATCATGTTTCATTTCATAGATGGTCTGGTTATAATCATCATTATAATCTGGGTGTACAGATTGGAAGTTCAGCTGGACCCAAATGCAGACACGAGCAGGCAGCCAGAGTTGAAATGTTTTACATCACTCATGTATACATCAAAACATAGAATTAGGCTTTATCACTGTTGTAAAAATACTCCATGCTGTACTAATACAGAGGTGTCTTATTGTTGAGGTCAGGAGCTGCCAGATCTGTTTTCTCTGGTAGTCTGCATGCATGAAAGAGTCTCTGCTTAACATAACTGATATTATATTAAGGCTGATTCTTCGGTTTAAAGGTGCTTTTCTTTTAAATCCAGTCTGCTGCATATCTTAGAAATTGATTTTGAAAATATATAAATATATATAAACATAAACAAACACAAAACATTCAATGAATTACAGATTTCAAACTTACATCTGGTTAGTCTTTTGGTCCTTTGTCTAATTTGGCCTCTTTCCTCGAAGGGTTCAAATAAACACTGAAATAAAAGCAAACACAGAGAGCTCATTATGCAAAGATCGGAATTTATATATTAAAATACTGCTGCTGCTTTCAGAAAGATAAAGACGAGGGAGTTTTTTACACGTATGAAAGCGGTATTCTGTTACGTGTTGTAGCTTATAGCTTTTTCCTCAATGATTGTAAAACTGTATAATTTTGTTGTTGTCTCTTGTTTTTGAACTGACTTCTCATCATATACTTTACCAATGAAAAAGCTGATGATGGTTTGGATCGTTTATATGCAGAAATATTGAAATTATGGAAATATTTATACTTGTATTGTGAGCTTGTTCTTTACCTGAGTGTTTTATCTTGATGTCGCTTTACAATTTCCTTACTTTTGCATGTAAACACTGAAACACTGCTGATAAAATAAGACCTGAATCTGTGGATAATTAGCTTTTTATTACTTATTTTTCATTTAAATTCACTTTTGTTATTATTGGATGTCGTCACTTACAGTCCTATGTCTCTGAACTTTCCCACACACGTTGGAGAATATGACTGTTTTTCAATAACTATCATTAAGAGATTATCTTAATTTTCATATGAACACATTTTTCACTGTACATGTAACGTTATAAATCCTCCCAGTGTGGATCATATTTACATTTTGAATGCAAATTTCTCTGAAATGATTACAAGATAAACATGTGAGCAAATGAGCCATACGCTCAGAAAACTTCCCACGAACTCCAGTCGTCTGCAAAATGACCTCACATATGTATATTTTTTGAAAAGTGATCACAAGCATTTTCTTATTAGTTCCTCCTGTTCTTTAATAGTACTTGTTAAGCAGGTTGTAACCTATCTAGGGGAGCTATGCCTTAAACATCTCTGTCAGCTGACATACGAGTGGTAATTTTTTTCATTAAATGAATGAATTAAGGATAAAAACCATTAGAGGTTCATAATAAACTGACAATAAATGTAATGAAGGTGGGAATATGAGAGAGTGAAAGGATAAAAGAGAACGTATTTTTAGTGTTTTTGCTTTATATTCAGAAAAACAGACTAAAATATCTAAAAAATGGCAGAAATACAGACTGCCCATTTGTAATGCCTCAGGTAAACATCCTGAGGATCAAGGTGCAGTATATGAAAGGGAAAAGATACAGTGCAACTTGTTACGACATGTTGTGAAGTGAATTGGATTTTAAACCATGTGCTCACATAAGCTGTGCATGCTGTGCATGCTGCTCCCTCAGACTGTTGCTGAAGGAAATACAGTGCTGTAAAAAGTGTTTTCTCCTTTCCTGATTTCTTAGTTTTGTGCATATTTGTTACATGTTTCAGATCATCAACCAAATGTTAATATTAGACAAAGACAACCTGATTTTTTGAAATTATGGTTTCATCTAAAGGGAGGAGGTTATCTAACAGTGTCCTACAGTGTTTTTTTTAGCATCAAGGGTGTCATAAAGTTTGTTGTTTCTCTTATTTAATGTAACTCCACCGCTATCAGCACTTTGTCAGTCATTTTATTTTTAAAAAAAGTCTCTTTCTGTTTGCGGTTAAAACAAACAAACAGTAAGAGCCCTGTGAGTGTTGAGATGTGCAGACAGCAGAGGGAGTCAAAGCCAAGTGAAAAACTTATCAGGGCTCAGAAAAGGCTTCAGGTGGGTTTCTTATTTTGCTCACGCACAGCTCCAGCTCTGCCAGTAAAGACCTTAAAATCCTGTTTTCGGCAGCAGTGTTATTCCTGAGCAATCTTTTCTTGTTTGAATGCATCAGTCTGGCTCTGCTTTTCCTCCCATGACAAGTAAAAGCATTAAAAACATTGCTCTGAAGCGCTGAATGTAGCAAAGAGGTTATAGAAGTTATTTAGCTATTATTTAAACTGAATGATATTATCTCTTTCAGAAACATTCCTTTGTTCTTCACCCAACTTATATGAACATTATGTTTTACTTCAGGGGTGTGACGCAACTTTTCAGCAAGGAAAAAACTCTTCCTGCACTCTTTAACGAGACAAACTGGAACGCATGAAAACACAGTGTACTGACTAACTCCTTCCAGGGTTAAAGAATAATAAAACTGTATTACATGTGTAGTTAAATATTTACTAATAGCTGACAATGACACATGTTGGAGGATTTATTTTAACAGCCATTCCTTTAGCAATCGAAGCAATAAAATACAACGAAAACAGCTGAATACACATAAAACTTTATTATTGGCAAGGTATACATAAAATCCTTAAAAGTAAAAGTGTCATCAGTGTTATATGGATCAATATTACTGCTGCAGATGGTTAAGACTGAGGTTTACTTTAAACAAATGATTATAACATGGCTATGAGGACCACTTATCTCTAAAAAGCGACTTTTAATCATCATACAAACACACTTGGATATAACTTAAATTAAACAGCAGGTTAAACATTTATCATAGATGTTAATCGTCTTGGTTGAAACTGGACATGATGTCAGTTCCTCCTCTCTGCTTTCATTGCTAATATGCTAACACCACATGCTGTGATTTTCTGTGTAAATAACGCACACGAGACCCTAAAACAAAAACTGTAATCACTCTTTTCATATAGCTTTTGTAATGTTGGATACAGTCTCTTCTCCCCTAATCCATATTTTGGTTCTTAATATAAGACACAGGGGTGACTCACTGCAATATTATTATTGTTTTTTCATCTTTCTACATTCAGTGCTTGATAAAAATCATAAAAGCAAATTATTTCTGCTGCAGTAATTAACCTGCAGTGAGTCAGAGAGGTTTAAAACTTACTCTGTAGAACAAATAAAGTTATATTTCTCATGTTCTCTTTGACTGACCCACTGATACCGTCCTCCTCTTTCCATAGCTGCACACCTACCACACTCCTCAATCTTTCCATTATCAGCCCAGTTCTCGTAGCAGACTGCTTTGTCACTGATCCAGAACCACAGATCCAGCACGCAGGTGTAGCGCAGTCCCACCCATATGTAAGGACTGCTGGCATTCTTGGCTCTCCTCTCCACCCATCTCTGTTGGTGAGGGTTAGTGATGGAGACCAGGTCAGTGTGGTGCAGTCTGCAGTAATCCAAGGCTTCCTCCCAGGTCTTGTTTTCATTGATCAGAATCAATTTATCTGTCAGAAACAATCAAACTTCAGTTAAGTCTGGTTAACAGCAGCTTATGTTCCACTTTACCTTGAATACAGACAGTACACAATAAAACATTGTAGTTTTTCACTTCCTTTAGCTGTATACTTAATTATTGTAAGTGTGTACAGTGCATTTGGAAAGCATTCACAGTTCCACATTTTGTCCTGTTACAGTCTTATTCCAAAATAGATTAAATTTCTTGTTCACTTCAAAGTTCTGCACATGATACCCCAAAATGAAAAAGTGGGGAAAAGATTGTTGAAATTCCTGCAAATCAAAAGCAAAAATATGGCATGTACAGTATGTAAGTATTTACACTTTGTTGAAGTATCTTTGTCAACACTTGAAGCTTCAAGCCTTCCTGAGTATGATGCTACAAGCTTGGCATATCTATTTTAGGGCAGTTTCTCCCATTCATTGCACAACCTCTGAAGCTCCATCAGGTTGGATGGTGCACAGCCATTTTCAGATTTCTCCAGAGAATCAGGTTCAAACTTTGGCTCTTGCTGGTCACTTGAGGACCTTCACAGTGGTTCTGCAGCCACTTGTTTTTATCTTGGCCGTGTGCTTGGGGGCTTGTCCTGTATAAAATGAACCTAATGTGGATCTAATGTCCGGTGCACTCTGGAGCAGCTTATTCAAAAAGAATCAAATTTACCATCACTAGCTCACTCTACTAAACAGGCCTGATTGTTGGAGGGCTTCAGAAATGATTTTTCTTCTGGAAGATTCTCGCTCCACAGAGCAATGCTGGAGCTCTGTCAGAGTGACCATCACTCCTTGACTAAGGCTTTTCTACCTCAAACTCTCTAACTGGCGAGGTGGCAGCTCTAGGAAAGTCCTGGTGGTTTCAAACTTCTTCCATTTACAGATCTCTGAGCTTATTGGGACCTTCAGTGCTGCAGAAATGTTTCTGTGCCTCTCAACACAAGCCTGTCTCAGAGCTCTACAGACAATTCCTTGGATCTTCTAATGATGCTCCTATTACAGGGAAAATAAATCAGATTAATCTTAGTAGAAACTCACCACCATAACAGAAGAAATACTTTTTTTTGTTGCATTCATCAGAGCTCCATTTTCTTGATCTGTTTAACAGAGTCGAAGCACATTTCTTTTTGTTTTGTCCATCATTAAATGACTCCATATCCCAGTGCCTGAAAGAGAAATTACTTCCATCTGACCACCTCCAGGTGTCTCTGAACAGGCCGATCCACAAATCCTGAGACTTTTTCAGGATCTTAAATTCTTGCCCATCCACCTGATCGAGTCCACTGGCCAGGTCAGTGTAGTGATCTCTGCAGTAGTTCTGAGCCTTTGTCCAGGTTATCTTCTCCTCAATCAAATGGATCGATTTACCGTCTCTCTTTTTTCCTGTTAAGGAAAAACATCAAAACAAAACAAAATTTCCATCACCACAAACATTTTGAAGAAATACAGAAAGACACATAATTTGTATGATTCCTCAAACATGCTTTCTCTCCATTTCTCTTTCAGTTCAGTTATATTATCAAATCAGACTATTATCCACATATTCTCACCATCGTAGCAGATGAACGGCATCATTTGGTCACATCTGGCATGTGTCCAGTTTCCTCTTGTCTTCACACAGTTCTCATTTTGATTTTGATCATCTGGTTCAGAAGCTCCCCATCTGGTTTCATGTTCAGTGTAGTTCACCCCTGGCAGAGACCAATGCCACATCCTGTTTTCTTTTCCTGGGTTGCTGAACAGTCCAATCCAGGCTTTACCTTCATACTCTTTGGATTCACGCAGTCTCGCCATGTCTGCCATGTCAAACACGCTGGCCAGGTCTGCATAATTCTCTCTGCAGTATTTCTGTGCTTCTTCCCAGGTTTTGTCTTCTCTAATAAAGTGGTACTCATACAGGTAACAGGTGGAGACGAAACACTGACCTAAAAGCAGTAAAATATTAGCAATAATGCTGCATTATCAAATCAAACTCACTGGTTCACAGATAAACAGTCTACAACACAAGTGTGACTCTGAGCTCAGTGACCTTGTCAATGAAAGACAAATGTGTGCAGATAAAAAAATAGATGAAAATCAAATGGAAAAACAAAGAAAAGACAGAAGAAGTAAGAAGACAAGACATTACAAAAAACACGGTAAGTTTGTAGGATTCAACAAAACACACACCAGGTAGAGAAATATCATCTCTATAGGGAAACTCAATCAGAATTTTCCACTTACCCATCAGAATCAGCAGAAAGAGACTCCACTGCATCTTTAATCTGCCGGATTAAATAAATATTTCATTAGATAATGAAATCATGTTTCATTTCATAGATGGTCTGGTTATAATCATCATTATAATCTGGGTGTACAGATTGGAAGTTCAGCTGGACCCAAATGCAGACACGAGCAGGCAGCCAGAGTTGAAATGTTTTACATCACTCATGTATACATCAAAACATAGAATTAGGCTTTATCACTGTTGTAAAAATACTCCATGCTGTACTAATACAGAGGTGTCTTATTGTTGAGGTCAGGAGCTGCCAGATCTGTTTTCTCTGGTAGTCTGCATGCATGAAAGAGTCTCTGCTTAACATAACTGATATTATATTAAGGCTGATTCTTCGGTTTAAAGGTGCTTTTCTTTTAAATCCAGTCTGCTGCATATCTTAGAAATTGATTTTGAAAATATATAAATATATATAAACATAAACAAACACAAAACATTCAATGAATTACAGATTTCAAACTTACATCTGGTTAGTCTTTTGGTCCTTTGTCTAATTTGGCCTCTTTCCTCGAAGGGTTCAAATAAACACTGAAATAAAAGCAAACACAGAGAGCTCATTATGCAAAGATCGGAATTTATATATTAAAATACTGCTGCTGCTTTCAGAAAGATAAAGACGAGGGAGTTTTTTACACGTATGAAAGCGGTATTCTGTTACGTGTTGTAGCTTATAGCTTTTTCCTCAATGATTGTAAAACTGTATAATTTTGTTGTTGTCTCTTGTTTTTGAACTGACTTCTCATCATATACTTTACCAATGAAAAAGCTGATGATGGTTTGGATCGTTTATATGCAGAAATATTGAAATTATGGAAATATTTATACTTGTATTGTGAGCTTGTTCTTTACCTGAGTGTTTTATCTTGATGTCGCTTTACAATTTCCTTACTTTTGCATGTAAACACTGAAACACTGCTGATAAAATAAGACCTGAATCTGTGGATAATTAGCTTTTTATTACTTATTTTTCATTTAAATTCACTTTTGTTATTATTGGATGTCGTCACTTACAGTCCTATGTCTCTGAACTTTCCCACACACGTTGGAGAATATGACTGTTTTTCAATAACTATCATTAAGAGATTATCTTAATTTTCATATGAACACATTTTTCACTGTACATGTAACGTTATAAATCCTCCCAGTGTGGATCATATTTACATTTTGAATGCAAATTTCTCTGAAATGATTACAAGATAAACATGTGAGCAAATGAGCCATACGCTCAGAAAACTTCCCACGAACTCCAGTCGTCTGCAAAATGACCTCACATATGTATATTTTTTGAAAAGTGATCACAAGCATTTTCTTATTAGTTCCTCCTGTTCTTTAATAGTACTTGTTAAGCAGGTTGTAACCTATCTAGGGGAGCTATGCCTTAAACATCTCTGTCAGCTGACATACGAGTGGTAATTTTTTTCATTAAATGAATGAATTAAGGATAAAAACCATTAGAGGTTCATAATAAACTGACAATAAATGTAATGAAGGTGGGAATATGAGAGAGTGAAAGGATAAAAGAGAACGTATTTTTAGTGTTTTTGCTTTATATTCAGAAAAACAGACTAAAATATCTAAAAAATGGCAGAAATACAGACTGCCCATTTGTAATGCCTCAGGTAAACATCCTGAGGATCAAGGTGCAGTATATGAAAGGGAAAAGATACAGTGCAACTTGTTACGACATGTTGTGAAGTGAATTGGATTTTAAACCATGTGCTCACATAAGCACAGGAGCTGTATGCTGTGCATGCTGCTCCCTCAGACTGTTGCTGAAGGAAATACAGTGCTGTAAAAAGTGTTTTCTCCTTTCCTGATTTCTTAGTTTTGTGCATATTTGTTACATGTTTCAGATCATCAACCAAATGTTAATATTAGACAAAGACAACCTGATTTTTTGAAATTATGGTTTCATCTAAAGGGAGGAGGTTATCTAACAGTGTCCTACAGTGGTTTTTTTTAGCATCAAGGGTGTCATAAAGTTTGTTGTTTCTCTTATTTAATGTAACTCCACCGCTATCAGCACTTTGTCAGTCATTTTATTTTAAAAAAAAGTCTCTTTCTGTTTGCGGTTAAAACAAACAAACAGTAAGAGCCCTGTGAGTGTTGAGATGTGCAGACAGCAGAGGGAGTCAAAGCCAAGTGAAAAACTTATCAGGGCTCAGAAAAGGCTTCAGGTGGGTTTCTTATTTTGCTCACGCACAGCTCCAGCTCTGCCAGTAAAGACCTTAAAATCCTGTTTTCGGCAGCAGTGTTATTCCTGAGCAATCTTTTCTTGTTTGAATGCATCAGTCTGGCTCTGCTTTTCCTCCCATGACAAGTAAAAGCATTAAAAACATTGCTCTGAAGCGCTGAATGTAGCAAAGAGGTTATAGAAGTTATTTAGCTATTATTTAAACTGAATGATATTATCTCTTTCAGAAACATTCCTTTGTTCTTCACCCAACTTATATGAACATTATGTTTTACTTCAGGGGTGTGACGCAACTTTTCAGCAAGGAAAAAACTCTTCCTGCACTCTTTAACGAGACAAACTGGAACGCATGAAAACACAGTGTACTGACTAACTCCTTCCAGGGTTAAAGAATAATAAAACTGTATTACATGTGTAGTTAAATATTTACTAATAGCTGACAATGACACATGTTGGAGGATTTATTTTAACAGCCATTCCTTTAGCAATCGAAGCAATAAAATACAACGAAAACAGCTGAATACACATAAAACTTTATTATTGGCAAGGTATACATAAAATCCTTAAAAGTAAAAGTGTCATCAGTGTTATATGGATCAATATTACTGCTGCAGATGGTTAAGACTGAGGTTTACTTTAAACAAATGATTATAACATGGCTATGAGGACCACTTATCTCTAAAAAGCGACTTTTAATCATCATACAAACACACTTGGATATAACTTAAATTAAACAGCAGGTTAAACATTTATCATAGATGTTAATCGTCTTGGTTGAAACTGGACATGATGTCAGTTCCTCCTCTCGGCTTTCATTGCTAATATGCTAACACCACATGCTGTGATTTTCTGTGTAAATAACACACACGAGACCCTAAAACAAAAACTGTAATCACCCTTTTCATATAGCTTTTGTAATGTTGGATACAGTCTCTTCTCCCCTAATCCATATTTTGGTTCTTAATATAAAACACAGGGGTGACTCACTGCAATATTATTATTGTTTTTTCATCTTTCTACATTCAGTGCTTGATAAAAATCATAAAAGCAAATTATTTCTGCTGCAGTAATTAACCTGCAGTGAGTCAGAGAGGTTTAAAACTTACTCTGTAGAACAAATAAAGTTATATTTCTCATGTTCTCTTTGACTGACCCACTGATACCGTCCTCCTCTTTCCATAGCTGCACACCTACCACACTCCTCAATCTTTCCATTATCAGCCCAGTTCTCGTAGCAGACTGCTTTGTCACTGATCCAGAACCACAGATCCAGCACGCAGGTGTAGCGCAGTCCCACCCATATGTAGGGACTGCTGGCATTCTTGGCTCTCCTCTCCACCCATCTCTGTTAGTGAGGGTTAGTGATGGAGACCAGGTCAGTGTGGTGCAGTCTGCAGTAATCCAAGGCTTCCTCCCAGGTCTTGTTTTCATTGATCAGAATCAATTTATCTGTCAGAAACAATCAAACTTCAGTTAAGTCTGGTTAACAGCAGCTTATGTTCCACTTTACCTTGAATACAGACAGTACACAATAAAACATTGTAGTTTTTCACTTCCTTTAGCTGTATACTTAATTATTGTAAGTGTGTACAGTGCATTTGGAAAGCATTCACAGTTCCACATTTTGTCCTGTTACAGTCTTATTCCAAAATAGATTAAATTTCTTGTTCACTTCAAAGTTCTGCACATGATACCCCAAAATGAAAAAGTGGGGAAAAGATTGTTGAAATTCCTGCAAATCAAAAGCAAAAATATGGCATGTACAGTATGTAAGTATTTACACTTTGTTGAAGTATCTTTGTCAACACTTGAAGCTTCAAGCCTTCCTGAGTATGATGCTACAAGCTTGGCATATCTATTTTAGGGCAGTTTCTCCCATTCATTGCACAACCTCTGAAGCTCCATCAGGTTGGATGGTGCACAGCCATTTTCAGATTTCTCCAGAGAATCAGGTTCAAACTTTGGCTCTTGCTGGTCACTTGAGGACCTTCACAGTGGTTCTGCAGCCACTTGTTTTTATCTTGGCCGTGTGCTTGGGGGCTTGTCCTGTATAAAATGAACCTAATGTGGATCTAATGTCCGGTGCACTCTGGAGCAGCTTATCATCAAGGATGTCTCTGCACATTGCATTCATCTTTCCCTCGACTCTGACTTGTCTCCCGGTCACTGCTGCTGATAAACATCCCCAGAGCATGATGCTGCCACCACCATGCTTCACTGTAAGGATGGTATTGGTCCGGTGATGAGTGGTACCTGGTTTCCTCCGGACGTGATGCTTGGCATTCAGAGTTAAGAGTTCAATCTTTGTTTCATCAGACCAGAGAATTTTATTTCCCATGGTCTGAGCATCCTTCAGGTGCATTTTGGTAAACTGAGGAGTGGCTTCAGTCTGCTCACTCTACTAAACAGGCCTGATTGTTGGAGGGCTTCAGAAATGATTGTTCTTCTGGAAGATTCTCGCTCCACAGAGCAATGCTGGAGCTCTGTCAGAGTGACCATCACTCCTTGACTAAGGCTTTTCTACCTCAAACTCTCTAACTGGCGAGGTGGCAGCTCTAGGAAAGTCCTGGTGGTTTCAAACTTCTTCCATTTAAGATCTCTGAGCTTATTGGGACCTTCAGTGCTGCAGAAATGTTTCTGTGCCTCAACACAAGCCTGTCTCAGAGCTCTACAGACAATTCCTTGGATCTTCTAAGTCTAGTGATGCTCCTATTACAGGGGAAAATAAATCAGATTAATCTTAGTAGAAACTCACCACCATAACAGAAGAAAGGATTTTTATTGTTGCATTCATCAGAGCTCCATTTTCCTGATCTGTTTAACAGAGTCACAGCACATTTCCTGTTTTGTCCGTCATTAAATGACTCCATATCCCAGTGCCTGAAAGAGAAATTACTTCCATCTGACCACCTCCAGGTGTCTCTGAACAGGCCGATCCACACATTCATCAGAGGGCTCTCGGACTTATTCAGGATCTTAAATTCTTGCCCATCCACCTGATCGAGTCCACTGGCCAGGTCAGTGTAGTGATCTCTGCAGTAGTTCTGAGCCTTTGTCCAGGTTATCTTCTCCTCAATCAAATGGATCGATTTACCGTCTCTCTTCTTTCCTGTTAAGCAAAACATCAAAACAAAACAAAATTTCCATCACCACAAACATTTGAAGAAATACAGAAAGACACATCATTTGTATGATTCCTCAAACATGCTTTCTCTCCATTTCTCTTTCAGTTCAGTTATATTATCAAATCAGACTATTATCCACATATTCTCACCATCGTAGCAGATGAACCACATAGTTTGGTCACATGTGACATCTGCCCAGTTTCCTCTTGTCTTCACACAGTTCTCATTTTGATTTTGATTATTTGGTTCAGAAGATCCCCATCTGGTTTCATGTTCAGTGTAGTTCACCCCTGGCAGAGACCAATGCCAATGCCAATGCCACATCCTGTGTGATTGTGTGTGTGAATGGGTGAATGACTGAATGTAGTGTAAAGCGCTTTGGGGTCCTTAGGGACTAGAAAAGCGCTATACAAATGCAGGCCATTTACCATTTATTTACCATTTCTTTTCCTGGGTTGCTGAACAGTCCAATCCAGGCTTTACCTTCATACTCTTTGGATTCACGCAGTCTCTCCATGTCTGCCATGTCAAACACGCTGGCCAGGTCTGCATAATTCTCTCTGCAGTATTTCTGTGCTTCTTCCCAGGTTTTGTCTTCTCTAATAAAGTGGTACTCATACAGGTAACAGGTGGAGACGAAACACTGACCTAAAAGCAGTAAAATATTAGCAATAATGCTGCATTATCAAATCAAACTCACTGGTTCACAGATAAACAGTCTACAACACAAGTGTGACTCTGAGCTCAGTGACCTTGTCAATGAAAGACAAATGTGTGCGACTATAAGACTTTAGTGTTTGGATACAATAAAGATAATGTTCACAGTAAACAAAGACATGAGATTGAAATAAAAAGGATTATTCATAACAAAAAGAAACAATTGAATTGATGGAGATCAAATGAAAAAGCAAAGATAATACAGAAACAGAATTACAGCAATAAATAATAACAACAGCAAACATCAGAGCAGAATGTAAACCGGAAAAATACAAACATGTTAGCAGAATAAAACTGAGGAAGCAGTGCGGAGAATTTCCACTTACCCATCAGAAGCAGAAACAGACTCCACCGCATCTTTAATCTGCCACATAATGAAAACATATTTTCTTTAATACACAGTAAAAAGATGACAACATTTTGAATGTAAAACGTGTCGTTTTAGTGTGTGTGTAGAGAAATGACATTCATATAGAACTTGCACTTAAAATGCTGGAAGTCACTGTTTTGTTTGATACTGTGTTTGGATGTGTTTCTCGAGGAACTGTATGAAAACACGTTTTAGTTCTTTTAACATTCAAATAAAATGATCTGTTGAATTAATCTGATAAACCACATCTCTAATTGAGAAAATCTTACCTTAGACTCAGGTTAAGAAAATTAAACCCTCAATACAACAGCTGGTAAATGATCTGAAACACATTCGGTACTTAGAATATTTTATGATGCATAGAGTTTATTATTTTTAGCTTCTCTTTAATATCATAGTGTTTGTTCTTCATATCTCTAATTGTGTACAGTGACGCTGGTCTCACATTGTTAATTCATGAAGCTTTTATCAGTCTGTTGTTGCTTTTGCCATTAACTTGTCACATTTATCCAACAAATACAAGGTTTTTAAGAAATAGCAACATCTAATCATGAATGAAACCCTCATCAGTTGAGCCTATACTGTATAACGTTTAACCTGGAAGTGTATTAAGTGCTACCCAGGAACCAAGAAAAACCAGACAGTGTGTATAAAATGACCCATTTATTACTAAATACCTCACAAGTCACCAAAAAGCCATTCCTAGTCTGGTCTGGATGCTCTACTTTAAATTTGTCTGATTATCATTTGAAGCGACAGCTCTGTTTAGGTCATTGATGAGATACTGTGTGATCATTTTGCAGTTCTGTAAAGAAAGGTTGGGTTGGATCCCACAATTGTTCTGTGGGACGCAGATCACATTTTGAAGAGAGGACCCAAATGCAGACGTTGGGCGACTAAACTTAACAAAAGCAAGCTGTTTATTAAGGCTGCAATCATAAAAAATACATAACAAAGGCAAACGGCGACTCGGACTTTGACTAAAACCAAGCTATACTGGGAAATCCACTGGTCACCAAATAATAAGCACACTCCATTCAATGTAATGAATTACAAATTTTAAACTTACATCTGGTTAGTGGTTCTATCCTTGGCCGATGTCTGTCGTGGAAGTGTTCAAGTAAATCGGGAAGTAATAACAAACAAAGAGAAGGCTTTATGGAGAGGTCTGGATTTAAATATTAAAATAGTGCAGTCCTAACCAAATCAGCAGAAGTATCATAACAGAGCATCACTGATGGCTGTCCAACAAAAAGAAACTGAAAGCACCATTCTGTCTCGCCCTTTTTCACTCACAAACATATAAAATATAATCATTTTCCCCAATAATTGTAAGACTATAATTATATTGTTGTCTATTGTTTTTGAACTGACTCCTCATTATGAATATAATAATAATAATTTGTTTTTTATTATTTTTATTACCGATTTTTCATTTAAAACGACTTCTGTTATTATTGGATGTCCTCACTTACAGTCTAATGTCTTTGTCCCACAGATGTTGGAGAATATGATTGTTTTTCAATAACTATCTGAATTAATAGATTATCTTAATTTTAAGGTTGCAGCACACTGAATGTAACCAGAGTCATGCGAGGACACATGAACACATTGTAAATCATCCCGCTGTGGATCATATTTGAATCTTATTTGATTCCCAAAAATATTCTGACCTTGTTTGAGTGACTGCCCATACTTTTGGTTTCTTTTTAAAAATGTGATCACGAGCATTTATATATTATTTGCTTTAAAATACCTCTGATGGCGGCTGCCAGCTGACACAATGAGTGATAATTTTGATATTTTTTTGGCTCGATTAAATAAATTAGGGGTTTTTGAAAATTCATAAAAATGACAAAAGTAGAGACTGCGCCTTTGTAGAGCAATCCTCAGGTAACGATCCTGTGAGCAGGGTGCAGAATATGAAAGAAAAAAAATACAATGTGCCTTGTGTATTCAATATTTCCAGTTTGATAGTGTAGTATCTGCCCTGTGAGTGTTCAGGTGTGCAGACAGTAGAGGGAGGTAAAGCCAAGTTTAAAAATCAAGAGCTCAGAAAAGGCTTCAAGTCACTGACCAGCTCTACCAGTAAACATCCAGTTTTTGGTACCAATATTATTCCTGATCAGTCTTTTCTTGTGTAAATGCATCAGTCTATGATGATTAATGCTGGCTTTAAATTCTGTGTCACAAAATATATTTATATCTGTTGCCTTTTCCTGGAACAGCTGAGTTGTCATCATTAACATTATAACTCTGCTTTTCCTCCTGCAACACTTCAAAAACATTGCTCAAAGACTAATGTAACCAGAATAGAAACTATTATGAAGTTGTCAGAACAGAAATACGTATTATGTCTTTAAGGGGACTTTTGTTCTTTCCCAAATTTATTTTAACGTGTTGGTGGATGTGCTGGAAACATTCCTCAGAGATTTTGGTTCATGCTGATATGACAGCAATGTTGTGCATTCAGAGCTACTCTGCATATCTTCACACATTCTTCACCACAACCCTGCTGCTAACCTGTTTTCTCTTTTTCAGACCGTTCTCTGTGGGAAAATCCCAGCAGCTCCGCAGTTCCTGAAATACCAACTTGCCTGGCACCAAAACCACGCCCCATTCAAAGCAGCTTAAATCATCTTTCTTCTTCATTCTGATCCACAGTTTCAGCTTCAGCAGGTCGTTCTGATCAAGTCTACATGCGTCAATGCACTAAGTTGCTGCCATGTGATTTGATATCTGGGGTTGAACTATGTGTATAAGATATTTAAAGCATCACAGATTAATAAGATAATAATAAAGAATTTAAGCTACTTCAATTATTGTCAGTTTTGTGTAAGTCATAAAAACTGTGCATTATAGAAACCCAAACAGGAGACTTTAGTTTTACTTAATCTCTAAGGAGTTACAACAGAAATGAGAAATAGCACCCAAACGTTGCAGTTTCTACTAATCTCCCGTGGTCTTTGCTCCAGTGTCCACTTTCTGAGCTCTACTTCGTTTATTGTCTCTGTTAGCTTATGTATTTCCCAATAAATATGCGGTTCGTCACAAACTTGCTCAACAGGCCTTTTGCAGGATTGTATTTCACAATAGCAGGACAAGTTGTGTAACATATGATAAACACTCTCTGACTCTCACTGATAGATCAGTTTTCCCTGCAACCTCATACGTCTATAATTTCTCAAGATTTCTGGGAATTAGTCATAGCTGTAGTTTTTATTTTGTTGAATAAATGTATACTTTTTATATATTTAAATGTATTTACAATTAGAGCTTTTTGTATCTAGTAGAGCTATGTGGTTAGATTTTGAAACTTTATACTACACTCAACAAAAATATAAACGCAACACCTTTGTTACTGCTCCCATTCCCCATGGGATGGACGTAGAGACCTAAAATTCATTCCAGATACACAATATAACCATCCCTCCCAAACAGTGGTCACAAATCAGTCCAAATGTGTGGTAGTGGGCACATCTGCTATATTGAGATAATCCATCCCACCTCACAGGTGTGCCACATCAGGATGCTGATCTGACATCATGAGTAGTGCACAGGTGTACCTCAGACTGCCCACAACAAAAGGCCACCCTGGAATGTGCAGTTTTGTCTCACAGCAAAATGCCACAGATGCCACAAGCAATGAGGGAGCGTGCAATTGGCATGCTGACAGCAGGAATGTCAACCAGATCTGTCGCCCGTGCATTGAATGTTCATTTCTCAACTATAAGCCGTCTCCACAGGCGTTTCAGAGAATATGGCAGCACATCCAACCGGCCTCACAACCGCAGACCTCGTGTAACCACACCAGCCCAGGACCTCCACATCCAGCAGGTTCACCTCCAAGATCGTCTGAGACCAGCCACCCAGACAGCTGCTGGAACAATTGGTTTGCACAACCAAACAATTTCTGCACAAACTGTCAGAAACCGTCTCAGGGACGCTCAACTGCATGCCCGTCGTCCTCATCGGGGTCTTGACCTGACTCCAGCTCGTCGCCGTAACAGACTTGTGTGGGCAAATGCTCACATTCGATGGCGTCTGGCACGTTGGAGAGGTGTGCGCTTCACGGATGAATCATGGTTCACATTGTTCAGGGCAGATGGCAGCTGAGAATGTCCCAGTTCTTGCATGGCCAGCATACTCACCGGACATGTCACCCATTGAGCATGTTCGGGATGTGCTTGACCGGTGTATACGACAGCGTGTACCAGTTCCCACGAATATCCAACAACCTCGCACAGCCATTGAAGTGGAGTGGACCAACATTCCACAGGCCACAACTGACAATCTGATAGACTCCATGCGACGATGTGTTGCACTGCATGAGGCAAATGGTGGTCACACCAGATACTGACCGGTTCTGGGTCCCCAGACCCCCAATAGCGCAAAAAACTGCACATTCCAGGGTGGCCTTTTGTTGTGGGCAGTCTGAGGTACACCTGTGCACTACTCATGATGTCAGATCAGCATCCTGATGTGGCACACCTGTGAGGTGGGATGGATTATCTCAATATAGCAGATGTGCCCACTACCACACATTTGGACTGATTTGTGACCACTGTTTGGGAGGGATGGTTATATTGTGTATCTGGAATGAATTTTAGGTCTCTACGTCCATCCCATGGGGAATGGGAGCAGTAACAAAGGTGTTGCGTTTATATTTTTGTTGAGTGTATATTGTATTATTTAATTCAGTTTAGTTAGTTACTTTTCTGTCTTGGAACAATTGTGATCACATAATTTCCTCAGGGATTAATGACGTGTTCTGATTCTGATTTCTATCTGCTGCTTGCAGGAGTAAATTTCTTTCCAAACGCAGTAGAAACCTTGGGTGTCGATCGTAGTTGGTTTGCGCTTTATGTTCCTCGGGGAAGGAAATGCTTCTCCAAATTAGGGCAGCATCATACTCATAACTGCGGTAGCTTCCTGAAATGTTCAAACTGTGCTCACTAATGCTCACTTCATGAAATAATCTTCACATATTTCCCATTTCATATTCACTTCCTCAGATTTGTTCCATCCTCTTATCTGACAGCCTTCAGATGAAGTCATATGAGAAGGAGAACCCTGCAAAGGTATGAATGAAGGGAAAAAGCTGCATGTCGTAGGGGAGGAGGGGGCTGAAGGTTGGAAAGTCCCTTCAAGCTTCCAATGTTTGTCCGCCGAGTGTGGACAATAAGGCCAGCTAGCCACAACTCATCAGGGAGCAGGAAGCAGGGATGACAGAGGGTGGGAGAGTTCAGCAGGAGTCTGCAGCCCCTCCAGGAAGCACCAGCGGGCTCGCACACGTGTTATTGGCTGGTAGAGTGGACTATTAAGACCCAGGAGGAAACAGGTGCCCTCAGCTTCATTGTTTCCTCACCAGCAACCAAGAAAAAACAAAACAAATACTAAAAAAAAAAATGGGGGGATAATTTTACTGAGCAGAAGATGTGATTCATGGGTAAAAAGAGTTTCTTAATGGGAGGAAGAAAATCAAAGGAGGTGAAAGGCTGAAGGCGCAGAGAGCCTGAAAATAAGTTGTTTTAGTTATCCAGTTGTTTACACATTCGCCTAACAAGCAACAAGATCTCCAGTTTGATCCCGGGATGAGATATAGATCCCTCGGGGATTGTGTCAGGAAGGGCACTCTACCACATCAAACATGTGGCGCTGCCCCCTGGGCGAGCCATTATGACAAAAGTAGTTTTAGTCATTCAGGGGATGAGTCATATGTAGCACCACGGTCTTGGAGGAACGTCGTCTCATTTCACTGTGTACTGCACCACTGCACATGGTTGGGATGACAATAAAGTCACTTGACCTTGAGTTCTTTAAAATACAATATATACACTATGACACACCAAAGATCACGTTTCCAATTAATATAAAAGTTATTTAATTTAAATTGTACAAAACCATCTTTGTCCAGCAAATTACCTCTCACAAATACAGATTTAGTAATATTACATTTTTATTTGAGTTGTCTTGTTTAAAAGTTTAGCAAACATCATTTGATTTCTTCACTTTTTGTTCAGCATGATACAAAAGTCCTTTGCCTGCTTGGACTGGAAAAGCACATAGTTTTACTTTTTTCTTTAAAGTTACA